GGTGTTGGCAGCTTGCGCGTGGCTGCAAAGCACAGGGGAGGTGCTCGTGAGAAAGGTTTCCCACCCGAGTTTTCTCCACCAACTCCTTTGCTGTTGTATTCAGCAATGCTGGATCACACCCTCTCGCGAAATGCAGCATGTTTCAGAAGGGGACCCATATTTTGTTTGTCCCTCCTGCATCTCCCAAGGGTAGAGGAGCACCAGGAGGGAGGCAGATGCTGCCTGTTCCAGCTGGACACCCAGGGGCTAAACTCTGACCCCAAAGATGCTTCTAAAACACACCGAACACCAGCCTCAAAGGCAACCAGGGACAGCTCTGTAGGGCAGTGAAGACAGGCCAGCAGCTGTGTCTTCTCCTGCTCCAGGGCTGGCACAGATGTGGCAGCTGCAGCCTGGTGGCTAGACAAGGACCCCCAAAAAGGACCTTCTGAGCACCCAGCAGGATCTCGGTTCCCCTTCCCCTCTTTCTTGGCTGACGGCAAGAGTGACTTACCTGTTAGCCAGTCTCAGAGCCTCCTGGGCCAGCATCAAGAACTGATTCGAGCCTCCAGGAAGGTTTGAAATAGGAATGGTCTGAGGAGGAAGGAAGAGAGGTGTGAGTGCTCTTCCCTGCCCTCCATCCAATTCAGCAGTGAAAGAGGCAACTGCAGCATGTCAAACCTCCACAGACCCTCAAAGACCCCTGCTAGTACCTCTCCAGGTCCTAGCCCTACAGAAAGGAGCACCAGAATATCTTCTGCACTCACAAAACAGACGTAATAACAGTAATACACTGAATTCTTGCTTTCTCCATGGACTTTTTTTTTTCAGCCCTGGTCTAGAACAGGAGTGTGTCATGCCGAGGATGTTCTTACCACCCGATGCAGAGCAGCTCCGCTGCGGTCCAGGTCCAGCCTGGCTCTCTCCAGTAGCTGCTGGGTGTCCTGCACCTGCCTCTCATACTGGCTCCCAAGAGACCTCAACCTCTCCACCGTTGCCTTGATCTCGTCCAAGCGGGCCTGGGAGCTGGACCCCTGCCCTTTCATCCTGGCCACACGGTTTTCCAGAGACCTGTCAGAGGCTGGTAAGAAGGAAAGAGGAAGGCTGAAGAGAAACTCATCACTGAGCAAAAAGGCACAGGCAACAAAACACTCCCCTGTTACAGTACAGGTGGCCCCATCCAAGGGCAGCAGGGAGGTGGTACCTTGCAGGCTCAGGGCTTCTCCCAGGATGGTCCGTAGCATCTCCTCAGCCAGCTGCATCCTCTCCTCCAGCTCCTGGCTCTCAGCCCCACCGCCAGCTTGCACCTCTGAGAACAGCCGCTCTAGCTCCAGCAGCTGCTGCAGGTACAGGTCCACCTGCAACCACAGCAGACCAAGACATCAGCCAGCAGGACGCCAAACCCACAGAGGAAAGACCAGGGTGGGAACCAGGTCCACAGTCTGGCCGGAGGATGGACAGCAAAGTGAGGGCTCATTTTTGGATGGGGCACAGTAGGCCAGCAGTTCCAGGTCATTGGGTTTTTTTATCAGGCACAAACCCAAAGCTCAGGTGCAGCCTACAAAATCACTTCTCACTCACACCAGGAGGAGATGCTTGAGGGTAAACGTATCGCTGCACCCCTTGCCAATCAGTGGCTCTGGGGCGCTGGCACAGATGCTCACCTGGGCTTTCACCTGGCTGTAGCAAGTTGGGCACTCACTCTCTTCGCAGCTAGGACCCTCGAAGCCAGGCTTGCAGATGCAGCTCCCATCACTCCCACACTTCAGGGGCTCAGCGCCAGCCAAGTCACAAGCACAGGCTGCAGGTCGGAGCAGCACAGGTTCAAAGGAGCCTGTTCCCACCTCAAGCCTCAGCACATCCTTCCCTCCACCCTCTCCCCTGCTTTCCTCTCATATGTTTAGCCCCCTGTGCTCCGGTTCCTGACATTCCTCCTTCCCAGCCTCAGCTTTTGCAGTATCCCACTTCCCATCAAGCCACTTCGCACTCCAGCATAGATTTCTTATTCATCCCCAGCTCAAAAAGTGCCTGGCTCTCACCTCTGCACTTGTCAGTGGGATTGGGGGCCAAGGGGTTCCCGAAGAAGCCGTCTTTGCAGCGGTCACAATAGAAGCCAGCCGTGTTGTAGATGCACTTGAGGCACTCGCCCGTCCGGCGGTCACAGTTCCCCACAGCATTGGGCTCTACATTGCCATTGCACTGGCACGGCTGGCAGGGACGGGAAGCTGCTGGGTCTCCGAAATAGCCGTCAGCACAGTACTCGCAGTTAGCTCCTGGGAAAGGACAGAGGAGAAGATCATGCTCTTGCCTGGAAGGTAGAGGCTGCCTCGTTGCTCCTACCCCACAGAAATGAGGGTGTTCAGCCCCATCAAGGTTGGCACAACAGCATCTCCACTCTCCTTGCTGCCACAACCAATGCACAATGCACCAGGCAAGCTCTCAAAATCCGAGTACAACAACTTGTTTCCTATTTGTTTTTTTTCCCTATTTTTCTATTCCACTCCCTCTCCACTCATCCTTTTTCCACCCACATTTTCTGTTTAGATGAGAACCTTTGCTGGGACAGGCAACGTGTGTTTACACAGTCCTTGTGGCTGAAACCTCCATTACAGGCAGGAGTGGCAGTGCCGTAGGAAAGCTGGGCTGAGAAGACGGGGTGATCCACCCCACTGCGAGCATCTTGGCCCACCGATGTCTGTATCTCCCTGTACAGTGTGTAACAGCTCTAGGGAAAGGCAGAGGAGAAGTGACCTGGAGAAGGGCATTACCGGCAGCTCCAAGAGGACAGTGATCACAGATGACCTCCTCGCTGCCCAGCACCACTGAGCACCCTTGGCCATTGCCACAGGGGCACGCCCTGCAGTTGTGTGGTTGCCAGGGGTCTTGGTAGAAGCCAAAAGGGCAGCTGACACTATTGCCCACATTTTCGTCTCCTGAGTAGCATTCACCTGAAGGAGGAAGGAAAGGGCTTAGGGCAGTTTACACTCATCCCCAGTGGGACACCCTCCACCAGTCCACCTCATGGCCACCCTTTGCTGGTGACCATGCCACCCAACATGCTTGCAACATGCTTGCAACACAAGCACCCGTGGTCCAGCATCCTCCACCAGACCCCTTGAGATCCCCATGTCTACCCATATGCGCCCCATTTCTCTGCCTATCAGTCCTTCACCACGTGGGAAGGACCATGCCCTGGTCCTGCAATGGGAGCCCATCCCAGGACAGGAAGGCTGGCAATCACCATTCAAAGGTGGCTGTATCTCATTTTTCATGGCTCATGGAGCTCCCAAGAAACAATATGTTACCTTTTGTGCCTCCTGTTCAATGCTCAGATATTTGGAAATTCCAGTTCAGACTTGGAAAATATCAACAACTTAACTTTGCATTACTTTGACTTTATCTGGCAACATTGTAGGCTATTTTAACAAGACAGGTAGTAAATCATGTTCACATTGCTGGTATCAGCTCACATCACATAGAAACACAGAATGTTTTGGGCTGGAAGGGACCTTTAAAGGTCATCTAGTCCAATCCCCCTGCAATGAACAGGGTTGTCTTTAGCTACATTAAGTTGCTCAGAGCCCTGTCCAACCTGATGGGTTACCACACTTACTTTTAAAACAAAAAGTCAGAAGAAAAGTTTTCTGTGCTATCCAGGCAGTAGGAGATGGTTTTTCTCTCTCCAATAAGCATTATCTAAACCAAATTTGATCCAAATGCATCTTAACTGTATTTCTGACTGCAGCACTTCTAGGCTCTGGTGAGTTTTGTCCATGATGTTCCCCACACTCCAGCCACCCAAGTCAGTGACCTCACCCCACTCAGTGCCCTTCACAGCCCCCTATAACTCAACTCTTGGGGTGCAGGCAGCCACCCTGCAATCCCATATGCCCTACAAGCACAGCATGGTGGTGTCTTCTCTTACCAGTGTCAGGGTCACAAATTCCTCCCCCCTGGCAACTGCAAAGCACACAGATGCTGAAGGGCCCCAATCCAGGGGTATCTCTGCGGTAGCCGGGGGCACACCTCTCGCAGAACTGCCCCTGGTACCCTGCCGGGCACTCACAACGCTCCACCCAGGGAGCCAGGACTCCGGCAACAGGCTGCGCCGACACCAGGGTGACGTTGTCAATGTAGCCAGTGCCTGGAGGGAGATACAGCTGGTCACCCATGCAGGCCAGCAGCTCCACCTGCGAGTCCCCCACACCCAGGACCAGCACACGTCGCATGCTTCATTGCAATACCCACGGGCAGATGGACTGGTGCCAAGGCTTTGTTTTCCCCACTGTTGCCATCCTGCTCAATCTGTTCATAATTTAATTTTGCCCATCTTGGGACACTTTCTATAATTATTATTATTTTTTAATACTTTTTAGCAAAGGCGCCTCCATCTGGCAACTTTGTGTCTCCAGCAACAAGGAGAGGCTTGTGCTTGCAAGCTCTCCCCCCACTTACTGTACTCCCCAAAGGTGGCTCGGATCCAGAGAGCTGTCAGGTTTCCCAGCAGCCTGCGATATTCGAAGTGGTTCAGCCTTGGGCTCCACTTGCTGTTCAGGTGCTCGTCCAACCTGCCCATGGGAGGGGGAAGAAGAGGAACCGGTTTCAAGAACATGAGATGCATCATCAAGAAAACGCAACAGCCCTCACCCATCTCCCTCCTGAGCTCAAGGCTTTGGGGAACAACCTCCCCAAACCCATGCAACTGACCCCGAGCAAAGTACCCAGCCCAACCTCAAGCCAGATTTGCTACTGCCCCTCTCACAAAGTAACCTCCTTATCCAGGACAGAAGCACCTGAGATGCATCCAGCCCAAAACAGGCAACAATTTGCCACCTCCAAGGGATCACAGCCGAATCCAGGTGCTCCCTGAAGCCACAGCCTTCCTTGCTCACCCTGCCTAAATGCCCCAGCATCCTCCTTTACCTGAATGTGTACGTCTGGCTGACACCGCAGGGCAGGACCTTCCCCTGGGGCAAGAAGGGAGCAGTGACTCTCAGGCCATCTCCTTCCAGGACCACATCGTGCGGAGATGGCTGGCGTCCCCCTCGGTCCAGGCGGTAATCAAAGGAGAGTGTCTGGCCATAGCTCAGCTGCTGGTTCCCGAGGAATTTTGCTGCAAAGGGAAGGAAGGGAGAAGATTAAAGGCTTAAAATCTTGCCTTCCTCCTAAAGGCTCGGTTTACAGGATCAGACCAAGCAAAGGGGACACCATCACCTCTCCCCCTCACCGATCCCACACCTACCAGGCGCCACAAAGTATATTGGTTCTGATCTCCTCGCTGCTATGAAGGCATCCCGATGGCGCGGGGACCACTGGAGCTGGGCTGGGGAGCCACTTTCATAGACAGCTTGCCAGCCTTCGGCACCTGAGGCACCAATAAGGAGCAGTCAGCGGGGACAGGTAAGGTGTCTCCAGGACTCCAGCAACTTTCTCAAGCTGGGACCTCTGAGGGGGCAGCACATATATCCCTGTGGCAATACATCTGTAAATAAGTCAGGCTGGGCATTGAGGTTTCCTCCAAAGCGGTAGGAAACACATGATGAAACAAGCCTATGCTGCACCCCACCCTTGCACCCTTCTTCTGCCTGTGATCAAGCCATCCCACCCATCAAGGCACAGGGACTCCCAGCAGGGCTGTGAACCAGGCAGCTCCTCCAGCAGATCAAAGAGAAGGGATGGCAAACATCCCCAGGAGCCATAGGGATGTCCTGCTTGGGCTTCACCTTGCTGGAAGGTGGAGGTGATGTTGGAGATGCTGTGGTCGTCCGCGCTGACGCACACAGCTGAGTGCCCGTAGCAAAAGCAGGGGGAGCAACCCGCAGGGTTTCTGGCATCCAAGTTATAGAAGTTTCGCTTGCACCTGGGAAAAAGCAAGAAGGTGATGACGTTCAAGTCTATTTTCTCCTCTTCCTGTCCAACACAACCAGCCCTCTAATGACAACAATGCAACACAGCCATCGCCACGGTTCAAGGTCGTCTCCAGGCTGGGATGGCAAGATGGGCATGTGCAACTGCCAGGGATGCAACAGCCAGGGAGATGGAGGACATGTCACACAGTGGTCCAGCAATTCCTCCTGACACCCACCTCTCACATCGCTCTCCAGTAGTGCTCGCCTTGCAGACACAGCGGCCAGAGAGGCAGCCCCCGGTGCTGCCAGCTGGGTCACACTCGCACTGCAGATTCCTGCAACAGGGACAGCGGGAACCTCTACCTGGGTTTCCAGCTTGGCCTGGGAGCTCAGTACCCCCAGCTACCAGTCCCATGCTAGAAGGTGAAAAATAATCAGCAGAGCCACCTCTCTAAGTATCCAGCTGCAGAGGTATGGATGCCAGGCTGAGACAGTGCCCAACGCTACTGCCCCAGGACACCCCAGCGCACCAGACCCACCTACAAGAGCAAAGCAAGCTCCGCTGAGCTTAATAAACCCTGGCTGCTTTTAATAGACCCTGGCTGAGCTCCAACAGGCAGCAACACCTCGGGGAGGCTCGGGCAGGAGGCCAGGCATGGCAGCACGGCCCCTACCCTTTGCCTGCCAGGGGCCCCAAAGGAGCAACAGCAGGGTGAAGAAAAGAAGAAGAGGATACAGCACTAAGGAAGCCAAACCAGAAACACTTCGAAAGGTGTTTAAACAGGACTTCATGCAAGAGAAGGGGATGATTTTTGCAGGTACGTCTTTACACGGGGGCAGTTGATGCCAAGTGGCACGGACACCAGGCAGACCCACATGTAGGCAGGTTTTGTTTTACATTGGCTAGCCTGGCTGGTGCCTGTTTGGTGTCACACGCATAATAAAGCAATCACCTTGGAGCGTGATTAAGCTCAGATTTTGATGCTATTGCATGACAGCAAGCTCTGCAGGCTGGAATGGAGGTCCAGCCCCACTCCAGCCTGCTCTCTCCCAGCAAGGTTAGCTTAGGGCTGTCGGTGTGCTACCACGAAACAAACTACCTCTGCCCTTGCACAGGGTGTTTTCAGCCAGCATGGGCTCTTCACAGCAGCTGGGAGAGCTCTGGAGACTGTCCCTCCAGCTGTCCTCATGCCACTGATGGTCACTTACTGGCCACTCCTCTGGCACCCGGCCTCAGAGAGGGACTCAAAGCCTGGCTGGCACTGGTCGCACTTCTTGCCCATCACACCAGGTTTGCAGCTGCACCAGCCGTCACTGTTGCACTGTGGGCTGAGGGCACCTGCAGAAAGAGGAGAAGAAGCAGTTTGGATGGGCATCTTCCACGGCCTCCCAGTGATGCTGCCAGGAGGACAGTGGAGAAAAGCACCACACTGTCACTGCAGCAGCAACCCAGCCCCAGTGACAGGTCCCACCCTGAGATCCCAGCACAGGGCTGAGATGCCAAGTCTGGCTGTTTAAGATGCTCCAGCCTCCCCAACTGCTGTAGGAGACAAATCCTAGCAGACATTGACCATGTGCCCAGGACATGGATCCTCTTCCCTACCGTAAACATCATTGCGAAGGACAAGGCAGACTCCAGGGCATGCAAACCAAGCAGTGAAATTTTTCTTGTTTGCCAGACCCTGTGCTAGCAGATATCAGTAGAACCCAGCTTCAGTGCCTCCATAGGGTCCTGTGGGGCTGAAGGCCACGGCAGGATCTTTGGTTTCTGACCTGCCGCTGCACACGTGCAGGCACTGAGGGCAGAGGATGCCAGAGCCATGGGCAGCCGTCCTGCCAATGGGCCCTCCCTGCACACCAGCGCAGGGGTCAGGCAAAGGGATAGCCACCCTCCCACCATCTTAAAGCCTATTGCTGTGTCCTCTTGCCAGCAACTCTCAGAGGGTATCAGCAGGTTCATGGCCACCGAACAAATTCAGGGCAGAGCAAAGCAGGGTCCCTGTCAGCGAGGCACAATTGTTGGTGGAGATGCTGGAAGGAAGGAATGCCATCCAGAGAGACCTTGACAGGCTTGAGGAGTGGGCCCACGTGAACCTCATGAAATTCAATAAGGTCAAATGCAAGGTCTTGCACTTGGGTCAGGGCAATCCCCAACATCGGTACAGGCTGGCGGGATGGATGGAGAGCAGGTCTGCAGAGAAGGATCTGGGGCTACTGGTGGACAAAAAGCTGGACATGAGCCAGTAATGTGTGCTCACAGCCCAGAAAGCCAACCGTATCCTGGGTGCATCAGCAGCAGCATGGCCAGCAAGTCAACAGAAAACCCACCTGGAGCACTGCATTCAGCTCTGAGGTGCCCAGCACAAGACATGGGCCTGTTAGAGCAGGTCCAGAAGGAGCCATGAAAATGGTCAGAGGGCTGGAACACCTCTGCTATGAAGAGAGCTTGAGATACCTCACGACTGGAAGTGTTCAAGGGCAGGTTGGACAGGACTTCGAGCAACCTGATCTAGTGGAACGTGTCCCTGCCCATGCCATGGGAGGTAGAACTGGGTGGTCCAACCCAAACCATTCTGTGAGTATGTGATTATTTCAAGGAGCAGGTGAGTCGTGAAGCCTGGGTTCAGCCTGAAGTTTCTGAGGGTTTCAAAACTCCCAGCACCAAGCAGTGAAGCACCCAGAAGGAGGAGGAGCTCCTACAACTTACGATGCAGCAACACAATGCTGGGCTCTGGCACCTCCCCAGGCAATCCCCACCCGGAGTCAAGCTGGCCCCGCTCACTCCCCCCATGATGCTCTGGCCCAGTGTGTAGGGACCCCTCACCTGACCTAGCCCATGTGCTCAGCAGGGCCTAGGGACACACAGGGCAGCAGGCACTTTAAGTTCCCCTGCACCCCTGACCCAGCCCCGGCCCCTCCTGGCAGGCAGCCACATACCCTGGGGGTGGCAGCGGCAGGGCAGGCAGCAGTCCTCCTCCCGCTGGCGGAAGAAGCCCTCCTTGCAGCGCTCGCAGTGGGCACCCTCCGTGTTGCCCAGGCAGCCAAGGCAGCGGTACCCGTTCCCAGTCTCCCTCAGGAGATGCCAGTCAAAGACACACTGCCTGGACATCCCGTTGCAGTCGCAAACTGAAGAGAGGAGAGAGACATATCAAATGATGCTTAGAGATAAGGGCACCAGCTATGAAGAGGTAAACCCACCCTGACGGTCAAGGAACAAACCTCCCCTTTATGTTCTGCTAGTAATGAGTCCTGTCCCCACATCTCTGCATGCATCAGCCACCCCTGTGCCACTGGTGCCCACACCATGTTCCGCATCCTGGCACTTTGGATTTTGGACAGTGCCTGATTTCACTGCCAACACAGCACAGGATGGACAAACCAACCAAGCCAAGCAGTCCTGCTCCACAGTGCAGCATGGGTGTTCTTCATCCTTTCAGAGGCCTTCCAACACAAGGTCTTTGAGTAAGCAGAGATGGTTAAAAAAACCCCAAAACCTTGTCCTGAGAAAAGCATGAAGAATCTTACTGGTGTTTTCAGGGAAAAGGGAAGGATCCCTTGAGGTTATGTTTTGCTTCACCCAGCCTCTGACCAGGAGAGAGCCCAGAAGAAAAAGCTCAGCCAGCTTCCACCAGGTCCCTCCATATAGGTCTGCAGTACACGTGTCCTCACGGCCAAGTGCAGGGGTGATGAGGAGTGGTTTGTGATCAGAGGAGCTCAGAGAGCTCAGAGGAAGCATTCCAGCCCAGCGGTAGATTTTAAAAAAAAAAAAAAAAAAGGTTTTGGTAGGATTACACAGGTCATCTCACCGCACCCTCCCCGGGAAGAAATGCTGCAGCTGCTCACATCACTGCATGATGGATGCCAGGAAGGACAGGCATGAGATTTTGCATCCCACTAAAGCCAGGACAGACAGTATATCTGCAGAGCAGACTGGCAGATATCTCACCAGACATGCCTGATCCAACACTCTTCTTCATTGCCTTGCCCAGGTCTTCTCCTGAAGCCACCTCTCATTTACTTGCCCAGCCCTCAGCGGCCAGTACTAGAGTATTTAAGCCTGAGGACCTTTATTTCAGACGAGTTCCTCAGTGCCACTGAGGAGAGCAGACACAGTTGAGAGAATGATTGTCAAAGACAGGCAGGAAAAAGAAACACCGTGAGGGAAAAAGCAGGGTCTGCAGGGGTGCAGAGCCTGCTGATGAGCTGCTCCAAACCACCCTGATGCTGCCATGGGATCCTCAACCTCCCTCTGAGAAACTCTGCTTACTGATGATATCCTTGGGGCATGAAAGGCGGTCCCCAGCTGTCCACCCCCAGTTCAGGTGACCTCTGACAGCATGGAAAGGTGGAGGAAATCCAAAAGCAAGCAGAAACCTGCAGCATAGATGCAGACAGCGGGTTGTACTTGATACACAGGGAGGCTCCTCCTTCCCAGCACTCTTCTGTCACAGCTTAGCCAGAGGATACAAGATCCCTGTCCCCCACATCCATGACTCCCAGGAAAAAGCGAAGACTCCTGTGTTCACCGTCCAAGCATGCAACACCCAGCACTCACACCTGGGCACCGCCCGCCACCCTCACACACACCCATCAACACCCACATACCAGACGAAGGCACTCAGCAAGCGGCAGCCAAGCCTGCTGCCAAGAAGAGAGATGACCTCATGCGCCAGCAAACAGGGAGAGAGATTTTTCCAGCACTGGCAAATGCGGTCCTTGCCTTGCAGCTTGGCTGCCAGGAGACTGAGACCCAGCTGCAGAAGGTCTTCTGCCACCCCATCCTGCTGGGAGGGGACCTGTGGGTGCAGAAGTCCTGCCTCTTAGGGTATAAGAAAGCACCTAGAGCCTCAGTGTATATCACCAGGGACCAAAGGGCAGAGACAATACAAGCAACCCACTGAGAACAGCAGCGTGGGACTTTCTCAAGGTATTTGTACTCTCCTTCACAGTGGGACTGCTTGAGGTAAATCCCACCCCCCATTCTTCCACACTAAAGCTAGAATATCTCAAGTTGGAAAGGATCCATAAGGAGTTAAACTCCACCCACGCATCACCCTACATCTACGTAATCCGGAGGATTTACTGGGTTGCTAAATTACAGGCATGAGAACTATGCCCCCAGGGAACAAAAACCTTTTTTCAGGTCTTGCTCTAAGACTGCAGCACGTTAAGAGCCAGCTCTTCAGCCCTGGCATGGATTCAGGTCTTGCTAATCTGAAATCATTTAAGATGATATTACAGTTTAGTGCCACTACCTCACTGGTGAAGCTGTTCCTGTTGCTGGTCTTCTGGAAACCTGAGAGCTCAGGCTTAATCTTTACCAAGAATGAGGCTCTGAAGTTGCTAACGAGATGGAGCATGCAGGAGCTGCTGGAAGATGAGGACCAACTGAGGACAAGATCATTTTTGTATCCAGGTGCCCTGAGGCTCTGCCCTGAGATCATCCAGTTCTCAGACAGCTCTGGAGAACAGGCTCCACAGAGGAGAAGCTTTGCAACTGGCTTTCTTCAGCGCTATGTTAGGATGAAGGAGGTCCATGGTATGCATCCAGCAGGACATCATTCCCGCAGCTCCCAGCCAGCAGAATAAAGTGTGAAAAATGCTTGTTTGCTGTGCTGAGACAAATTCCCACATCAGAAAGTCTTGGAGAAGCAGACAGGCAGCTTTGAACCTCTTAAATTGTCTTCTTAAATTCACAAGACCAGCAAACAAGGTTGGCCCTGGGTCTGCAAGGAGCAGATCTGATAGCCCTGTACATAGGAGCCAGTCTGCAAAGACTACTGCTTTCAAGAGATCAACAGAGCTGTGCATGCAATGAAGCCTCCATGGCAGCACAAGCCATGCCCTGCTCTGTGCTTTTGGGACAGTGACCCAGAAGCCTGTCCCATCTGCTATCCCAAGTCCTAGTTTCCCCATCGCCCAACTCCACAGCTGTCTCACTGCAGGAAGACCTGCCTGTGTCTCCTGGGGCTCCTTCAGCATCGGCAGGGAGAGTACACACCAGGAGCCAAAAGCTGCCGTTTAGTCTCTTCTTTATCCCAACACACCGAGTTAGACATCTCATTGGCATGGTGGAGCTCTGACCTCCACACCCCAACTCTTCCATGAACCCTGGGAGATCCCTTCAGCCATCATGTGCAGGCACACACCACCAAGGCAAACGCACACTTGCTCGGGCAAGGCTCCGCACAGTTCAGAGTACAAGCGCCCTGACCTCCGCCGCTCGACCGGATTGTACATGAACTCAGTTTGACTCCAGCAGTTCATTCACAAGTAAAACAGGATCACGTGTGCTAATTACAGCCACACATCAGGGACCAGGACCAGAGGAGTAACAGCACAGGAGACTAATTGATGCCACCGAACTGACTCAAAGTCTGCTGCAGCATAAAAGCATGGCCAGTCATTGACTGTCCCTTTTACATACGTGCAGAAATAGATTCAAGAGTTCATGGAAAAGCAGCAATCGCCTACACGCTGCCAGGAAGCAGGAGTGAAAAGAATCTAGATCAGAATTTTAAAACTTGCATGCAATTAAGGCTGCTGTAATAATTATCCAAGTAGCAGGTAAAACAAATCAGGTCTTTAACAAAAAAAAAAACCAAAATCCCACACTTATTCAGCACATTTTTTCCCTTATCACATTTCACTGCTCTTAAAGGGGAACTGATAAAAGACCAACTTCAAGCCCAGTGAGCATATTTCAGAACACTGCAGGAAAAAAAAAGATTGAAATCACTCCATATTTACAAAATACATGTGGAAACACAATTTTAGCCAAACATACCCATCTCCAGACTACACACCAATATGACTGACACTCTAAAACTGAATTACCCCCAGGCCGAACGCACTTAAACATTCCCGCATTGCACTCTCCACTACAATTGTGCACGCAAGAGGATCCTCTGGATTTTTAAAGCTTGCCATCCGTCTATGTACTGCAGGAGGCTCACTGCCTCCCATGGGCTGCAGGCACCTTGTAAGCCCCACAGACTCACACAAAATACAAACACCACACATGTTACTATAGCAAACTGGATCCTGGATGCTTCCAGCTCTTCCTCAGGCTTAGGGAAGGTTTTGGTTACAGCAGCGGTTGGCAGATCAGCCCCTCACTGCCTAGGCAATGCTCACACTCATGCCCAAATCCCATCCAAGTATCAAGGCTTTATACAGAAAGCAATAAAGTAATTGCACATAAATAAGTTATTTAAAGGGAAATTCAGTAAAAAAAAAAGGAAATCTAAATGCTCATGGGATATTTAATCCCAGATGAAATATAAGGAGAAGCACCTACAGATCCATTTTTAATCCCAAAGGTGGGAAGGGAGAGCACCCTAGCAGCATGCTGTGGCACCCAGACAGCTCCCAGTTACCATCACTCTCCAGCACCGGGGCAGGGCTGCGAGCAAAGCCAGCGGGTGGGATCACATGTCAGCACGAAAGCAGGAACAACCAACCTTCCCGAAGCCTCACCTTCTCCTCTGTTGGTGCTCAGGGCTGCAGGCAGGAGAGACGCCATGAGGCAGCAGAGGGGCCCGAGCCAGCACCCAGCCATTTCTTGTGCTGGGGGACCACAAGGCGCCTGCTCCGGCAGGGCTGGCAACTGGCTGCCTATTGCTTTTTTTTGAGTGGTTTTTATCGACTGCTCCACCTGAGTCACTCCCAACA